AAAAAAAAAAAAAAAGAAAAAAATCACCTGTAATCTCACTACTGAGTGATCATCACTGGGAATATTTTGGGATCTATTTTTTTCTAGACTGCTTTCTATTTTAGGAAAAGGGGATTCTGAGCCACATCAAATCTGCATTTTTAAACAATCAGAGCTGTATGTTACGAATAGCTTTTCACTTTACATACGCTTGTGCCCCATCATTCTGCAGAGCTGCTCTGTTTTAATGTCCAGGTCTAATGATCTATTTTTTCTCATACTGTTAGATACTTGCTTTTACTTTTTCCCCATGGTAAATGATAAGTAAATATTTAAAATACTTTGTGTCTCTTTCTCCTGAAACTTCCAGTGCTTTTAATCCCCCTTACTCTGGATTATTGTGTCATGTATTTGATCTTGCATTTTTGCATGTTTATGCTATCCTGGTTCAAACTTGTCTTTTTCTGAGGATAGAGATTGTGGCTTTTGGTATAATGGCAGGAAGAACCCAGAGGGATTGTACCCTTGTCAGCAGGCTCTAGATGGTGGCTTCTGAGAATAAGTCCACTTTTTTGCTAGCAAAACAAGTGTTCATGTTCTGATGCTAAGTGAAATAGACTTTAGAGTGCATCTGTAAGAAGATTGGAAATTAGTGAATCAACCCCTCATATGGTGTAGGGTCAGGCAGTAAAACGACAAACAATTTGATTTGTTTATAGGGTGATCAGTTTGAAGACTTCTGTTTATTTTTTGCAATAACATAACATTTAAAAAGTGGATATAATACATACTGTGGAATATTATTCAGCCTTAAGAAGGAAGGACATTCTGACCCATTTTATGATATAGGTGAGCCTTGAGAATATTTTGCTGAGTGAAATGAGCGAGACAAAGGGCAAATGTCTGTTTCTTCTTATATCCTGTATCCAGAGGTCAAGTTCATAGAGACATATGCAAAAGCCAAGAGAGTGGCTATAACGTCAGAAGGGCAGGGGCAGGTAATTCCCAGGGGCTGCAGAGGCCGGGGTAGGGGAGAGGGATTGGGGAGTTATTGTTTAATGTTTGTGAATGTATTGTTTAATTTCAGTTTGTGAAGATGAAAAGATTCTATAGATAAATGATGATGATGGCTCAATAACAATATAAATATACTTAAGACTGGTTAAAAATTTTATCTTATGTGTATTTTATCACAATTTAAGAAATGAATATAGCATAAAAAATACATTAGCTTACAGACAAGTAATTTAAAAAAAAGGTAAGTCTGGCTGTGGTGGCTCATGCCTGTAATGCCAATACTTTGGGAGTCTGAGATGGAAGGATCACTTGAGGCCAGGAGTTGGAGACCAGCCCGAGCAACACAGTGAGGCCCCATCTTTTAAAAAAAATTAAAAAAAATTAGCTGAGGGTGGTGGCATGTGCCTATAGTCCCAGGAGGCTGAGGCAGGAGGATCGCTTGAGTCCAGGAGTTGGAGGCTGCAGTGAGCTATTATAATGTCATTGGACTTAAGCCCAGGGGATAGAGCAAAATACTGCCTCAAGAAAAAAAATTTAAAAAAGATTGAAACAACTACCCTTTGTGTATTTTAAGTGATTCAGCCCATAACAAGAGCCTTTGTGAAAGTAATGATTTGTTTAGTTGGTGCCCTATTTGATGATGGTGTTGGCTCTTGCTAAATCTGTGGGTTCAGCATCTGTAGGGAGCGAGTCCAGATGCCACCGGTATCTACATTCACGTTGTTGATACGAAGAGACACGAGGAACCTCACAGAAACATTTTCACTCTGGTTTTCTGACTAGTTTGCGTGTGAACCTGGACATGGGCAAGATTGTATACAGCTGGGTGATTCGAAGGGATTCAAAAATCCCCGGGACTGTGGTTCGTTCCAGCACGATTCCCGAGCAGCTGGGCAGGATTTCTTACTTACTCACAGACAAGACAGGTGAGCTGCTTCCTGGGGCCTCTTAGGATTCTGGATGGGAGAAGATGCCCAAAACTCTTGGATTCTCTCTCTGGACAAATGAGGGATGCATGCTGTTCGTTTTCTTTTTTGATGAAGACTGATTGTTTGGTGATGGGCTGATAATAAGAGCAGCATTCTCTTATATAGGACTGTGTGCAAAGCACTGTCCTGGGGTGTTCCTATGCAGCCCCTCATCCAGTCCCCACCCTAACCTTGCAGGTGAGGAAATGTGACACAGAGAGCAAAAGGGACTCATCACCGGCATGCTGGGGCCAAAGCAGCCTTTAACTCAGGCAGCCTGGCCTTGAGTCCTGATCTCACACCCACACCCGACACTACTGCACAATTTAACCATCTGTCTGCTCAGCTGTGAGGTTATCCCAGCGCTGAAGGGCAAGGCGTGGGAGCAGGGAGACCTGTTTCAGCTTCAGCTGTACTATTCAGTGGCCGTGAGGAGAAAGGATGCTATTGCAGAGATCCCGGCTGGCTCACCAAGTCAGAGCAAATCCAGGTTTCTGGAAGGAGAAGAGCTGATGGAAGGAGAGGAATTTCTGGAAGGAGAGAAGAGATGCAGGACAAGGCAGCATCAGGCCCCGGGACAGTCTCTGTAGGGCCCTGGCCACTGGTTGTGTCTTCCTGCTCAATTTGTAGATTCTTTCTAGATAGAATTTTATTGGCTTAGCATATGTCACGTGGCACCCTCTTGGCCAATGGTTTGAGTCAGATGCCCTGATTGACAGTTCTGTTGGGCTGCCCTTGGGAATAGGCCTGGTCATTTCACCTTGGAAACCTAGGATGTCATTTCTGAAAGGGGAATAAGATTCTAGGCAGGTGAGACCCCGCCCCGTCTCCCCCAGCAGGGGCAGGACCCACTCAAATGTGTAAACTCTCTTAACATGGCAGCTGTCCTTCCTGTTAAGGACAATTAATGCCCTGGGCTGTGGGCACGTGGCTCATCTGTCCTGTGTTTCAGGCACTCTGACCCAGAACGAGATGGTTTTCAAACGGCTCCATCTGGGAACGGTAGCCTATGGCCTCGACTCCATGGACGAAGTTCAGAGCCACATCTTCAGCATCTACACCCAGGTGAGGGCTTCTGTATCAATGCCCTAAAGAATTCTACATTTTTTTAAGACCTGTATTGAGATATAATTCATAACTCCATTGAGTCACCCACTAAGGTGGGCAGTTGCTCGGTTTTCAGTGTATACAGAGTTGTGAAACCATCACCACAGTTTTACATTCACTACTCCAAAGAGAAGCTCATTAGCTTTCAGCAGTCTCTGCCCCTTCCCCCATGCACCTCTGTTCCAAAGCCCTGGAGCCACTAACTGTGTTTTGAATAAAATTGCAGCTGGGTTTCTTCCCATCATCCTTATCTCCAGGGTTAATCTGCACTACTGAAGTGCAACTACACGGGCACTGGGAAGCACCTGACAGAAAATGATTTGTCTATTAACCGGTTCCAGAAGGAACCTCATGGTTGGTTATACTTCAAGTTTGTGAATGTGTTTATTTTTCCTTTTTCCCTGGCTGCGAGCCAGAACGGCAGTAATGAATGGTCCACGTGTGAACTAATCATGATGTTACTGATTAACTTGAATGTCTCATCTGCATTCGGGCCAGCAATCATGAGGAAGGAATTAACGCGCAGAGATGACTTACTACGTATTGGCTCAGTCACTTTTCAGAGAAGGATAATACTGGCAAGTGTCCTAGTAATCCTAACAGAACGGTGGTTCTCCATCTCGGCTGCTCATCAGAATTCTGGTGATGATATTTCAAAACACAATAGGCCAAACACAAGAGACATTTATATAGGCCTGATGCCCCTAGAGATTCTGATTCATTAAGACTAGGGCAGGGCCTGGCTTCTGTCTTTTAAAGGTAAGATGAAACAGCCAACCCCCTTGGTCATTCTGAGGCACACCAGGGCTAGCGTGGACCACATGAGACCAGCTACATGTTAACTGCGTTTGGAGTCAACAGGAGAATAAGAGAGGCCATAGTTTTGCTTACATTTGTCAAAATGAACAAACAATTCCACAGGCAGAAAGCCAGTTAAAAAGGGGAAGGAAATATCTCTGTATAAAGGTGAAAGGCAGAATCCCTGAATGCCTGCTGAGTTGGTTATAGTCAACATTTAATTTTCTAGAATGTGGGCCAGGAGCACATCTAATTTTCAGACTGTCTCCTAAAAATTACAGAGCAGGGGGCCGCGTGGCAGCGGGGGTGGATTTTGAATGGAGTTAATTTGATCCACTTCGTGTCATCATCCATAACCGGCAGCGAAGCCCTTCTCATCCTGCCAGGTCGTAGGTAGGCATTATGCCTGGTCTCTACGTGGGCCCACGGCCCCTTTGCAAAGATGTGCTCTAGGGCTGTTAGAGGGGCTCCCCTATACGGGGATGAAAGGCCACACAGTCCCCTTTTCTTCCGTCTGTCTTGACCATCTTCCTTTGCATGGTAATTCCAGGTTGGCGTTTCCAGTGGGTGGTGCTGGGCCCCATTCTGTGTCTCCTTGGGTTCCTCTCCTACCCCACCCAGCTTCCATCACCCTGGAGATGCTGATGGCTCCGTGTCTGTCTGTTATGACCCCAACCTGGAGCTTTGGACTGTGAACACCTGCCCGCTTGGTGTCCCTTCTCACCTGGCATTGGTGTGTGTGGCTCATAAGGATTGTATCTGAGGATCCCTCTCAAGGTTCTTCCTTCCTCCCTTAAAACTGCTCCCTGTCCGAGCGCGTGCCGTGTCCATCCACCCCGTCATCTCCAGCCTCAGCCACTGCCCCTTCCATGGCACCTGCTCCCCCTGAATTGCCCTTGTGGCATTTTGTCTTCATCCCTTCTCACTCACTTGGCAGAATCAACCTTCTCCCTTGCCTTTCTCTGCAGAGCCTCATCGACGAGGGTCTGTACCATTCCCGCACCGTGGTTTCCCTGCTTCTTCCTGCTCTCCTCCCAAGCATGGGAGCACCCTGGCAGTGTCAGCTCCCTGGTGGGGTCCAGCTGGTGTTCCAGCCGTGGCCTGCGCCCCTCCCACTCCTGTGGTCACCCTCTGCTCCCGCTCACTCTAGCCTTTAGCACGGGGTGAGCTGCCTCATTTCTAAGGCCAGCCCCTTATGCCTTCCAGGCTGCTTCCGAGGGGCTGTCGTTTGACTGTCCTGCTTCCTGACACCCAGCGGAATATGTGTTTCCCTCTCAGACCCTTCCCAGGTGTGCTGACATGTTGATGACTATATTGGACAGCTTCATGGGGGTGGTGTGTACCCCCGGCAGGAGACACACCCTTCCCCATTTGGGTGGTATTTTTAAGAGCTCCTGGTATTTGCAGAAGCCATCCCATTTCAGGATATTTGTTATTTCAACTTTTATAGTTTGTTTTTTAGTTTAGCGCAGATAACACTCTTTGTAAAGCGTTAAATGGCAGAAAATGACATTTCTTACTATGAATTCTACTTCCTTAGGGGAAACTCATAAATTGTTGTACCCCTCCTGGTCTTGAGTCAAACATAGCAAAGGGTCACATGGGGTTAGGGCTCCTCCAGGCTGAGGCGAGTTCAGAATTGTGGTACAGACCCACAACGGTGAGGTTCTGTGCGTCTCTCTCTTTCTCCACGTCTGAAAATCCTACAGTAAGCACGTGCTGCCTTGTGATGAGACATGTGAAGGCTTTTCCACATTTTTTTTTTTATAACAGCCTTGAGTTCCAGACTTGCTTGAGGGAGAGTGAGACCCTGACTCATTAAAAAAAAAACTCAATCGGGCGCTGCTGCGAGCACCTGTAATCCCAGCGGCTTCCAGAGGCTAATGCAACAGGATGCCCACAGCCTGGGTCTGAGGTTGCAGTGAGCTATGACACTGCACTCTGCTCAGGGCATAGGGTAGGACTCTGTCTTAACAGTAACCAAAAAAAGCAAGAAAATTAAAAAATAAGCAAGGAAATAAAAAAAAAATAGCCTTGAGGTGTAATTTACATATAAGATGGAGCTGTGTTAAATGTACAGTTCAATGATTTTTAGTAAATTTACAAAGCTGAGGGAGCCTTCCAAGCTACCTCATCTCTTAGAATGTGCCCACCAGCCCAAGATCTCCTGTGTCCATGGCAATCACTCTTTCGGCCTTTAGAGCTTAATAATGAGATTTATAGCAGTGTATTTTCAAGTACAGTGTTTGGAACTCCTGGGCCAGACCATTTGCTCCAGAGCCAGAAGCTCCAGGAGTCATGCCCAGCACTGCAGTTTTAACAGGTGAATCAGGTGATTCCAAAGTACAGCAGAGTTTGGGAACAGCTTTTGGGAAGCTAAGATTCACTCTTCTCTTTCAGAACCTCGGTGTCTGTATCTGGGTTTTCCAAGGCAGAGCTTGCAAGATGGCCCAGGGAGCGTGGGAAGAAAAGATCAGAGCATCTATTTCCATTTCATTTTCATCTCTAAAATTAATGCCGGGTCTAAATCCTACTTACAGTATTGAGGTTGACCCAGGGAGCCCCACTTTCTACATCAGATCAGTGTTTGTTGGGTCTGGTCCTTGCAGTGTTTTGGAGAAGGAGCTGAAATTTGACAGTTATTTATTTTCGGAGTGTCCAAGTGTTGATTGCAGTTCATAAGCATCCAGGTGACTTGTTTTAAGGATGTTATTTAACTAAACCGACCTCATAAAGAGAGCAGGTGGTTTTAAGAGATTTTTGCAAGAAAACGGCAGATTATGAATACAAGGCCAAATACACGAGAAGAAAATGGCAAACACATGATGAGATAAAACCATTAACAGGCCAAGGAGATGTGAGGATTTTCCCTCTGGCTTATTTATTTATGGGTATCTTTTAAATTTTATTTTATTTTGGTGCCTTTTAAAAAATGCAATATAATTCAAACACCAATAGAATTTGCTCTTTAGGCTCGGCGCCTGTGGCTCAACCGGCTAAGGCGCCAGCCACGTACACCTAAGGTGGCGGGTTCGAATCCCCAGCCCGGACCCGCCAAACAACAATGACGTCTGAAACCAAAAAATAGCCGGGTGTTGTGGTGGGCGCCTGTGGTCCCAGCTACTTGGGAGGCGGAGGCAGGAGACTCGCTTGAGCCCAGGAGTTGGAGGTTGCTGTGAGCTGTAATGCCACGGTACTCTACCCAGGGGGATAGCTTGAGGCTCTGTCTCAAAAAAAAAAAAAAAAAAAAAAAAAAGAATTTGCTCTTTAAAAATTACACGATTATTTTTTTCTAGTATAGTCACAGACCCGTACAACCATTGCTGCTAATTTCACACCATTTTCATTACTCCAAAAGAAAGCCCACATTGCTTGAACCCTCACTCTCTTGCATCCCAGACCCTGGCAGCCACTAATCTACGTTCTGTTTCTGGATTTTCCTATTTTGGACATTTCATATTTATGGAATATGTAGCCTTTTATGTTTGGCCTTGTTCTCTTAGCATATTTTCATGGTTCTTTCAGGCTGTAGCGTATAGAAGTACTTTGTTCCCCGTCATAGCCAAATAACAGATAGGATGATTCAGTTTTCATTCATGTCAGTGATGGAGCTCAGGGTTAATGGTTCTGTATCAGAGCCTGGGAGGGTTGGGCATATGAGGAACTCCCCTAGCAAATTTGATGAGCTACCAGAAGAACTCAGTAATCAAGGAAAATCATATTCTAATGCAGTTAGTTTGAAAAGTCTAATGTAAAAAGTCCACGAGGGACAAAACGTTGACATTTTAAGTGAAAGCAGAATCTATCCCGGCACTAGCAGAGTTTGGCCTCAGGTTCTCACCCTAGTCCTGGGCCTGATTTATAGACTCAGTGGCTTAAATCAGGCTTCTCACCTTTATATCAGGGTTCTATTATTGACATATTAGGGGTGGATCGTTCTGTGTCGTGGGGGGCTGTCCTGTGCATGAAGGATGCTTAGCAGCATTCCGGGAGAGACCACTGAGTGCCCCACCCTCCACGTGACAACTAAAAATAATCTCCAGGTTTTACCAAACGAGGAGTTGAAAACTTGGGGCCTATGGATAAATTGAAATGTGTTGACCTTGTTGGCTGATGGCGTCCACTATTAAATAGTCAACTTGTACTTAATCAGCTGTAACTTCGTTGGTTTGTTTGGAAGTCATGGCTTGGAGCCTGTCTCTGTGGTGGTGGCCCTTTAAATTAGTCATCAACTTAGCACTGTTTTGGGGGGTGAGGCTATCATAACAGAAACTCCTGCTTTTTAATAGCGTATTTCTGTCACTAGCAGCCCATTTGTAATATCCATGAATATGATGAATGCCTAGATGGGGTGAAGTTTTAACTGCATTCAGAAAGAAAATTGGTATTCCTGGTGACTCACCATTTAATTTTTGTATTAATCTTTCCTGTAATATGGGCTGGAGTGCTTGTCGGGAACTGGCCCTGCTGTGGGTCATTAATGAGAAGCGCAAGTCTCTTTTTCACGAGTCTCGGTGTCTCCATTATTGGCTGGGATGCCGTGAATGATTCTGAGTCATTATGTATGAGACCCCCACCCCTGGTCCGAGGCCGGCCGTTGTGTGTGGAGGCCTTTGTTCCTCTCCTAGCGCTGACCTGGGCTTGGTTACAGAAGTCACTCCTGACCTCACGCTCTGCCCTCCCTCCCTCCATAAGAGGACCGGTGGTTTCTCCCCAGGGCAGAAAGAGTCATAACCTGCCTCTGTGGATGCCACATCTGTTTTTGTTTTCCCCTGGTATTTTTTAAGTAAGAAGAAATGTGTGTAGGTTAAAGGGCCTATGGGGAGGAGGTTAGAGATAAACACTGTACGAGGTGAAACTCTTCCATATGGGGACCATGGGGATGCTTGAGGACGGGGCTGGCACCAGGCGTCCCCCTCGCTAGGCCACTGGGGGTCTCAGCGCTTTAGTGACATACGTGGATTGCCACTTGGTGTGCGAATGAGCCTTTTATTTGACAACTGAGGGAGGCAGTTTTGGCACCAATGCTTATTCCCTGTCCTCCCTGAAACAGCTTTTCGGGACAAGTGTTACTGTCAGAGAGAAATAAACAAATGTGGAGACAGTAAGTCCCTGGCCTGTGATGTTGGTCTGGGCTGTCATCCTTGTCCTCGGATTCACCATCACGTGATCTGTTGATCTCAGAGTGAGGTCTTTACAAAAATCTCAACTGTGTCCATGGTTCTCTGTTTTGTCTTAGGAATTGTTTTATTTGGAATGCACAATCCCATGGCTCTGTGTTGCTCACTTAGGAATATTAGTGGAAGTGTTTGACTCCTGTGGACGTGACACGGGGCCGCTTTGTAAAATTGGGGAGTTGGTGATGGATGCCCTTAGCTTGGGTTTTTTTTTTTTTTTTCATCCAAAGCCACTGTCACTAAAACTTGCTAACTGTAGCAATTACATTGTCAAAGGTCTTGGTATGGGCCCCGATGTTCAGTCATGATTTGGTCCAGGTGCTGAGGAATGCCGGAGAAAATGAAGACACAGGTTCACAGCTAGACCATAAATGACAGAACTCGAAAAAGAAGAGGTTCTTGATTTCGTCTCTCCCACAGAGAGAACCTTTCTGTCCATCTTCAGGTCTTCTTTATAATTTTTAATTCTTTATAATTAAAAGCACTTGGCAAATAATGATTCGTTTAGACCGGAGTTCTGATTCATTACTCTAATTATTGTTACCATGCAGTGCCCTTTGGCCTGGAAGTGAAACTCGTGTGCTCTTGACACCAGGGGTTAACAGAGCAGGAAGCCAGAGCCCCGTGTGTCCCTGCAGCAACCAGAATAATTTAGTAATTGTCTAATTACCTGAGGAGTCTAATGCCACTACTAAAAATAGTATTAAAAATTAAATGAAAGTCATTTTCTTGTTTCTCGTAACCCATCTGTTCCCTATTTTGGGCAACCGGGTGTCATGGGCATAAAATGCGGCTTACTCTAAAGGAGCAGATCGCTTGTCTTCTGTCGGATAAAAATGTTTTTAATGGAACATAGAATCCAGTAGCTCTCTAAACATTTCTAGCTGCAGGATTCAGTTAGCTGCGGAGGTAGTTAGACTATTAGAGGTCGTCCATCATCCAAATCTGTGATTTAAAATCTAGAACTGAAGTTGGTTCATTGGACATTTATTCTTGGAAATGAGGAAAAAAAAATCATCTGTCAATTCAGGACTGTCCACCACCAGCTCAGGAATATTCAGTTCTTAATTTATTTGTTAATTCAGCAATTATCTATTATATGCCAGGCACTGCCCCAGGGCACGGAATATAATGGTGAGTGACTCAAACAAGCTCTCTCTGTTTCTCTGTTCAGATGAGAGAAAGAATCAGCAGGTAAACTCGCCAAGTTTAGACAGTGAGGAGAGTGATACACGGGGTCACGTGGAAGTGTGGCTCGCAATGAGGAAGGCCAGTGGAGCAGCTCAAAATAGGGTTTCAGGGACGGTGATGGTTGTCTCGGGAGCTGGGCCATGTGCTCACGGGGTAGAGGAGGGGCAGGGGAACTGCTCCTTAGGCGAGAGCTGGGGTCTGAAGCCAGCATGGAAGGCAAAACGTGAACACGGGTAACATTCCTCTTCAAAGTCAACCTTAATTGCAGTGCTGGGAGTCCCACTAGCCAGGTCATCACCTGGCCTTGCTGGCCTGCCCTGGGCTGCTAGTTACTAGTGACTGTCCCCTCTGTAACAGGGTGACAGTTGAAGCAGTTACCTTCTATTGTAAACCAGGAAGGTTGTACATTTAAAACAGTGGTTCTAAACCCAGGAGAGTTTTGTCCCCGCCCCGGACATTTGGTGACATCTCTTATCACAACTGGGGGAGTCCTGCAGGCATCTATTCCAGGGGCTCTGCCAAACACCTGACAGTGTGCGGGACAGCCCTCACAGCAGAGAATGACCTGCCTCCAAGGCTGTAGTGGCCAGGAGGGGAAGCCCTGCCCCGACCTGCTGGGATCCCTTTACTGCAGTGAGGTCCCCGTCTTGGCGGAGGCCCCCAACAGTACCCCAGGGAAGGCAGAGTCACTGTGTTCACAGGTAGAATCACTCTCATTCATTGACTTGTAATCTTTTACTCTTTACTTCCCCCGCCCAAGCATCAGTGATCTGAATCCTGAAGATCACACGCCGTTTATCACAGTGTCTACAGGTGTACCTAGGAGTTACCTGGGAGATCAGCAGACGGAACATGTTCCTCCATGCTTCCCGGACCCTCCCTTTCTCTGATCACCTTCCCTACTATTTATTTCTCCTTTCTGCAGCAATCCCAGGACCCACCGGCTCAGAAGGGTCCCACGATTACCACCAAGGTCCGGCGGACCATGAGCAGCCGTGTGCACGAGGCGGTGAAGGCCATTGCACTCTGCCACAACGTGACTCCCGTGTACGAGTCCAATGGTGTGACTGACCAGGCGGAGGCCGAGAAGCAGTACGAGGACTCCTGCCGTGTGTACCAGGCGTCCAGCCCAGATGAGGTAAGCTGGGGACAGGTGCCAAGGTGATGCAGGGCTGCTAGGGAACAAGCGTTCAAATGCGAGAAGGAATTGCTCCTCCTCTGCGTGGTCATAGGCTTGAGATATACTCTGCATTGGTAAGAGGAGATGTTGCTTTGCAGCCTGAGCAAGAGCAGGATCCTGTCTCTACCAAAAATAGAAAAACCAGCCAGGCACTATGATGGGCACCTGTAGTCCCAGCTACTCAGGAGGCTGAGGCAAGAGGATTGCCTGAGCCCAAGAGTTTGAGGTTTCTTTGAGCTGGGGTGTCACAGCACTCTACCCAGGGTGACAGAGTGAGACTGTTGCTTTTTAACTCTGATGACCAGCACAAGGTCCCACTTAAACTCTACAAAATTTTTAAAAATTTTGTGATTTTAAATACATTTAAATTTTATAAATGTAAATAAAATTTAAACATAAAAATATAAGCAAAAGTTTTATTTAAATTTCATCTTAAATTTAAATTATTTAAATTCTGTACCATCTACCCATTTTAAGTGTACAGTTCAGTGGCCTTTTTAGTATAATTGCAGCGTTATATAACCACCACCGCAGTCAATTTTAGAATATTCTCATCATTCCAAAAGGAAAGGCTACACCATTTTTTTCCCCCGAGACCCATCTCTTTTTCTTCCCCCCCCCGGCCCTAAGCAAACACTATTCTTGAACTTTCTGTCTCTGTAGATCTGCCGTGATGTGCGTTCTGTACAACTGGAACCGTACAACCATTGGCCCTTGGTGCTGGGCCTCTTGTAATTAGCATAACGTTTTCAAGATTTTGTTCCTTTTTATGGCCGAATAATATTCCACTTATGAATATTCTCCAATTTGCTTATCCATTCAGCAGTTAATCTGTGTTGTTTTCATTCTTTGGCTGTTAATGGACGAGGCTGCTGTGAAGATTCGTGTATGAGTTTCCGAGTGGGTGTGCAGCTTTCCTTCTTTTGGGCGTGTACCTAGGAGCAAGTGGCAGGGGCGTCTGGTAACTGCTCTGTGGTTTGCCTTTTGAGGAACAGCTGTTTCCCAAGTGGCCTCACCAGTGAACGCTTCTGTCACAGCGGGTGAGGGATCTGCCTTCTCTTCATCTGTGCCAGGGCTTGTTATTACCTGTCCTTTATGATTCCGGACATCCTTGTGAGTATGAAGGGGTAGCTTTTGGTTTGGATTTGCATTTTTCTGACATCTAATAATGCTGAGCATTTTTTTTTATGTGCTTACTGGCCATTTGCATCATCTTCTTTGGGGAAATGTTTATCTATAACCTTTGCCCAGTTTTAACTGGGTTATTTGTGTTTTGTTGAGAGCCCGTCATATATTCGAGATACAGGTTCCTTATCAGATGTATAATTTGCAAATATTGTCTCCCGTTCTGAGGGTTATCGTCTTACTTTTTTGACGATGTCCTCTGAAGCACAAAAGGTTTTAATTTTGATGATGTCCAATAAACCGCATACTTAACTGTTTGTATGTAGGCATATTCTATTGCTAAAACCGAAAGGATTAGTTTGATGCTGTGTTGGAGAGCATGGGGCTGGTAGCACAGGCGGCTCTCGGTGTTTGTCTTAGAACAAGCTCCTGAGTGCTTTTCTGCTTAGATGGTTGTATCATAGGAATGTCCTCTGCACATGTGTAGATAGAGAACTGGCCCGGTGTGAAAATACAGCATGTCCCATACAGAGGGAATCGTAGCTAAATATACCTCAGCTTACAAAGTATTCATCACAAAATTTTACAAAGAGGCAGCAAACACACAGAGAATATTTTATAAATATTTCATAATGAATGATGAATCTGGTGTGGTGAGTCCATATTGAATGAGTATTTTCTCTTCTTCTTCCCTATTTTTTTTTTTTTTTTTTCAGTTTCAGAGAAACAGGGTCTTGCTATGTTGCCCAGGCTGTCCTCAAACTCCTGGGCTCACGTGATCCTCCCACGTAGCTGGGTCTACAAGGCTCATACCACCACATCTGGCTGCAATGAGTATTTTTTTTTTTTTTGAGACAGAGCCTCAAGCTGTCCCCCTGGGTAGAGTGCCCTGGCATTACAGCTCACAGCAACCTCCAACTCCTGGGCTCAAGCGAGTCTCTTGCCTCCACCTCCCAAGTAGCTGGGACCACAGGCGCCCGCCACAACGCCCGGCTATTTTTTTTTGGTTGCAGCCGTCGTTGTTTGGCGGGTCTGGCCTGGGGATTCGAACCCGCCACCTTAGGTGTACGTGGCTGGTGCCTTAGCCGGTTGAGCTATAGGCGCCGAGCCTGCAATGAGTATTTTTAAGGGTCATGATAACAGTTACCAGAGTTCTTCCCAGAATTTTTCTTTTTACTCTTCTCCCTATGTTTTGATGATTTCCAGTTATTTTTTTGTTCATTTTGGGAAGAAGGGGGATTCTCTGAGTGAGTGAACTGTTTTGAAGACGGGACTAAAATGGAAGTATTCAGTACTCAGCCCGTGACTGAGGGTGGCTGTGGGACGGCACAATGAGAATCTTTACCAAAGGTTCACCATGAAAGGGCACTTGAATGTCACCTTCCCTGTCCTGCTGCTTCTCCTTTCTTGGGGCAGTGGAATTTGTCGTCTGGGTGGCTTTTCCTTCCAGTCAGCTGGGTATTGGTGGAACAGTTCAAGCTGTAAAACCCAGTTGTCTGTGACGGTTCACATTGGAGCCAGGCTTTGCAGGAGTGAAGAATGTCGCACCCCCTGGTCGTTTTCCGAGATGGGACTTGTGTGCAGAAAGAGAGTGGGAAAGAAGGGTGGTTTGGACGATCCTGCTGACTTCTCGTCTCATACTGCGCTGTTGGCAGCTGAAAACTTTCCAGGTTTATCATCATTCCCTTTTAGTCTTGGGGTCTTGCTTTTCCCGTAGGAATGGGCGTAAGAAGGAGCATACCATGCCGTGGAATGACAGGTGTGAGTAGCTGTAGATCCTGACAGTAAACTGGTAACTTGTGGGTATTTGATGGCATGCAAATTTGGGCAAGTTTTGGATATTGACCGAAAGCACTTCTGCCTGGGGCTCCAGCCGGCCTTTGCATTTCTGAAGGCCTTGAGTGCCTGTCCCCTACAGCTCTGTTTCCACCGAGCTTTGATAGGTTTGTTTTAGGCCTGTGCAAAGATTTTCTGTGAGGATAAATCTTTCGTGGAATGCCCTGTGCTTCTCGCCTCCTCCTCTTAAAGTACATAGTGTTTTATCTCTTCTGTCCGTTAATTACACTTGGAATCAGATTTGTTTTGTTTTTCTAAGATTCTGAGACAGGACTGAATAAAGAAAAAAGATATATTTGCCTTGGGTGTCTTTTTTTTTTGGAGACAGAATCACACTCTGCCATGCTGGCTAGAGTGCTGTGGTATCATCGTACCTCTCAGCAACCTCAAACTCTTGAACTCTGGTGATCTTTCTGCTCAGGCTGGTCTTGAACTCCTGAGCTCAAGTGATCCTCCTGCCTTGTCCTCTCAGAGTGCTAGAATTACAGGGGTGAACCACTGGCCCGGCTACTTTGGGGGTCTTCACAGAGGCTAGTGCTACCTTGGTGCTCTTTTTTTTTTTATTTTGAGTCTCACTCTGTTGCCCTGGGTACAGTGCTGTGGCATCATAGCTCACAACAACCTCAAACTCTTAGGCTTAAGCGATTCTCTTGCCTCAGCCTCCCGAGGAGCTGGGACTACAGGTGCCCACCACAACACCCACCTATTTTTTTAGAGACAGTCTCAGTCTTGCTCAGGTTCTTCTTGAACTCCTGAGCTCAAGCAATCCGCCTGCCTCGGCCTCCCAAAGTGCTGGGATTATAGGCATGAGCCACCACCCGGCCTATCTTTTTTTTTTCCTTTACAACTTTATTATTTTTTATTGCAGTTACTTTATGTCTATACATAGAACATGTGAAAACATACATGAGAAAAAAGTAAACCATAATCTTACTAGAGGTGTAGCCACTGTTACGATCTTACGATCTTACGTCTAAGCTACTTGGGAGGACGCAGCCTGCAGGGCACGAACGCATTTCTATCAGTACATCAGGAGACACACAAGGGGCCGAATCTAGTTCAAGTGAAATCTTTCAGAAAGTCGTTCTGTTTCCAAATCCCTGTGGGATTCCACATAGACTTGGCTGGCTCTAGAATGGTGCCTTTGAAATCCAATATCAATAAAGCATTGCTAGTCGAGGCAAGGTCAGTTTATGGAATACATAACAGAAACCAGTATTCATTTGACTTTGGAGCTGCTGAAGTAATTCCTACCAGTTGGCGTAGGATTCATTTCCTGTAACAGAAAGCAGGATTTCCTAAATTTGTTTCCTGTGCACATTCCGCTTTAGAAGCCTTGAAGTGCCTTTATTCAGCTATCGATTACAGCCCGCGGGGAGCTGGGCCCTCCCTCCCCGGTACAGTAACTCATAGGGGAAATGAAATAGATATAATCTGACCAGAGAGAAGTGCCTCTCAGATACTTGTGCAGGCGGGCTCAGCCCCAACAGCAGGCCATGGTTTCCAGGGTATTCCGCAGCGTCAGGGGTGGGGGTAACAGCAGGGGAGGCTGTTGGGGGGTCATGACAATGATGCACTTTTTTTTTTTTTTTTTTTGCAGTTTTTGGCCAGGGGTTGGGTTTGTACCCACCACCTCCCAGCACATGGGGCCAGTGCCCTACTTGTTTGAGCCACAGGCACCGCCCGATGATGCCCTTTTTAAAGCATTTGTTTTTTGGTATGAGCCGGCAAGGAGGCACTGCCTTGCGAACAGCTGGGGTCAGCCCTATAACTCATTCATTTGCCTTTTTCATGAATTCTTTCATATCCAAAAAAAGGTTTGAAGCTTTTCACATCACAAGCACTGATGTCCTCACTACAGAAAAAGTAGAAATTGTAGATTCCAAAAAACGTTGATAAAAATAACCTAATAATTCTTACCACCTAGCGATAACTACTGTTCTGTTCATATTATGGTACACATTTCCCCAGATTTTTCCGAAATGTAGGCTCATGTG